AGAATGGAGTCTATTCCCCTTACTTTCTTCCACTGTGCTCTGGTTAAAATACGTAGACTGTGGTCCTGTGAGAAACCAAACACCTCCTGGGAACCACAGAGCAAATTTAGAGCACTTAGCACTCCGCTGAATCGGCCCCTAACTTAGCAAGGGTAAGGAAGGAACTGATGGAGGTTATCAAACTAAAAAGTGATAGTCACCAAAAATGGTAAAAAAACGTTCAAAAGCACAGTGGAAGAAAATTCTCCAGCATGCAGAAAGATAGTAGATTTTTTTTTTTAACAAAGAAAAGCAACAGCTAGATTTCTTTGTAACATTCCCTGCATTTTTTGTTCTTTCCCCCCCCAAAAAGTGAGTAGGCAAGTTCGTGTGACATTCTTTAGAATATAAAGGAAGTTATTTTCACCCTTGGATGAAACATTAAAACCTCTAAAGGACTCACTCATTCACAGATGAGAAATGGAAAGCTTTCCTATCATGTATTTTAGGGACAGTCTCCTTTTTTCTGGAAATGCTGATAAGGGACAAATTCAAACTGGTCCTGATCTGCCTGGATCATCTTATTTATTAAAAACAATGGTATCTTTTAAGCCCTGTATACTAAGCTATCGGTCAATTTTGATTGACACAAATATTTGTATTAAGGGTTACATACTGCAATTTACAATTGGGTACCATCACAATACTGTATGTTAATGTAATCAGTATTTTCATTTCATGAATTCATTTGCAGCATGACACTGCAAGGGTATTCTTACATATACTGAAGACACAATTGCTAAGTAGTTCAACAATTCTCCTTTAAGTGGGATTTTTTTTTTATCTGATAAATTTTTAACACAATAAAACCACTCCTAGTTCTATGTGCATGTTTTAATTTCCCACCTTTTAAAGTGTTTAGACACTTGGAATAGCTAGCATACTGAATTAATCCACAAATATTTACAAGAAAAATCTATTTAATTTCTTTCTATAGTAACTACCACAGGGACTATTGTAATGAAAAATTTCCCATCTTAAAGAATTAATGCGATTACTGATATAGAGAAAAAAAGTAATTTATATCATCACAAACACGTAAAAGATATAATCCCATATTCACAAAAAGAATCTTTATTCCCTCTTTGAATTCTAAGACAATACAGTCTTGCCTTGAGGAGAACAGAAATATTATGAAGTACCTTAAGCAAGATAATTGTAAGAGAAAAAACTACAATTGCATTATTGTTGTGCTAAACTGTGACATACTTAAAAAGCTAATTTCTTTTATTATAATGGAATTTGGTGTGCATATCCTTTAATCTACTTCACTATTTCTTCACAGTTTTACACACAAACATATGTGTAAAATGTTTCCCATTATCTGTACTACCTGATTTAACAAACTGCAACAAATTTAAAACAATTAAAAATATACTTGGCAATTCCATAAACTTCACTAGATTTACTTTTTTTTAACAGTTTTGGGACTAACTTAACATCGAGGATGTCACAAAAATATGCAGCTAATGAAAGATCTACAGCAACTCAAATATTATTCAAAAAGACGTGATCAATATTTTATGAAAAAGTAACGTTTGACATGAGTGACTGTCCCAAATTTTACCAAATACATTCCAACCAATCACGATGCTGAACAGTTTGCATCTAAATCAAAAGCTAAGCAAACAAAAATGTGTCCCCAAAATAGGGCTTTCTACATCTACGTCAGTTAAAGTGCACTCACTTCTAAAATTCAGAACAGCCACCCTTCAGTTATTCCTTTCGATTAAATACATTTTAACCAAGAAATTAATCTGCTTGTGGCTGGGCATTTCTCTATTCCACAGAAGCAAACATGTTTTTTCCCTCGTTCTCCTTTAAAAAGTGAATTTAACAAAACTACTAAAATTATGACCTAATTAGTACTAAGTAATATTTAAAGCTTTTATATATAGTACACTCTCATTGCTACCCCTAACTTCCCAGGCTTTACCCTCACTGATGCTGTTTGATTTATCTGGCACTACCACTGCTTAAGCACACAGATTCACATTGTGCATTCTGGTCTGCATCCAACATATGCAGAAGGAATCAAACAAAGACAAAATTTGTTTGTAAAGACAATTTTTGGTGAACCTTGACAAACAATGTGCCAGGGCAGCGGTGTATTGGAGACAAACAGGGTCACCCCTGGTGACCAGAGAGAGGTCCTCAGTGGGCAGACCCACACAAAACTAGTCAAAGGCAATAAAGCTCCTTAGAACCAGCAAGAAACAAAACTGAAAAGTGAATTACAGGAATCTCTTGCCTTTTTTCTACCTAAGAGTCAGTCCCACTACAAAACTTGAACCCTGAACAGATGCTCTCCCACTCCTCACCGATCAGGAGAGTGGGACACGAGACATGGTAAACAATGAAAATGTGTGCTTTGGATTTGTTTCCTTGGAACTCTTAATTTCTGTTAAAGCACTGAATTATTAGTGCTATACTAATTAAGTTCATTTCAGTTATCTGAACGCATTTGACCGGCTAGTTATGAAAAAATACCCATCTAAATTAAACGGAGTAATATTGAATAACAAAATGTAGGTCACTGAAGAAAACAAGCCATCAACAAATATTGCCAGCTTTCTGTCCGGGAAGCAATTCCAGCACGAGCCTTTCTTTCCTCTGGTCAGACCCCAATTCCTAGATGTCAAAGCCTTTAAGCACGTGCTTAAAAAAAGCTTTGCTGCGTTAGGACCTTGCGACTGGCACACAGGACATCGGGGACTGCTTCCACCTAATCCCCCGCAGTCAGCGTGCCCTCTTTTCACTCTCTCTGACCTACTCACAATTTTTACGGCTGAAACAAAAAGATTACATGCTAAAAATCAAACCACATCGTGTCAGTGTAACGATAATGCCCAATACACATCACCCTGTAAACTATGAAGCCCCTAATGCTCACAAAATGCCAGAGAAATCAAGAGTCACACCTATGAAAATAACCACAGTGCAATACACACACACAAAAAAAATAAAGACTTTAATACTTGTGAAACGTCAGTCTTTCACATTTGTGCCACAAGTGGTCAACTGACATTATACAGCTGTGGCCTACAGGTCTTTCACATAAATAACTTTTTTCCTAATTAGAATAAACAAATAAAATCTCCAAATTGCACTCATTTAGTGTGAAAATGGTTGAAAGAGTTCAGGTCAGTTGTATTTTTTAAAGGGAGAAAAATGTATTCATGAAAGAAATTTTTTTTTTCACAGTCAATATGGGGTTTATACTCCAAGACAAAAAAAATCCTTTAAATAAAAAGTTTTTAGTTAATATCAGTGTTTTGGAGCCTCCCACTGGCAGCCATCACACAGCTGAAGTGAACGATCAGCTGAATGGAGGGTTTATATCCAGGCATCAGTGACTATTTTGCTTTAAAAGAAATGAGTATTTCTGGGTTCATATTTTAAATGCAATTTAAAAGATCATAAAGGAAAGAACCCAGCATTTATTGTGTGTCTCCCAGCAGACTACTTAATGTTCAAACATCTACTATGCAAAGGTCAAATGATTTCACTGAATGTAATGGTGACAAAAATATTCTGCAGCACTGAAAAAAATATCAGATGATCAAGGAAAAAGATATGGGCCTGAGATCTCTCAACAGTCACAATAAATAACGTAGATTCAGTTCAGTAAGAAAGAAAATTGCAAAGTTGTGTCAGGAGAACCAGGTTAAGAAAGATAATAGGTGAAATACAAATTACATACTTTTGGTAATGTTCTTCATAAAGGAATATTTTAAAGTAATAGAATTAATTAATTTTTATTAAAAAAAAAAAACTTTTCTTACACAAATATTGCTTGCACAGAATTGAAAATAAACTGTATTCAGCTGAGGAACCTCTGAGGTGTTCTGCTGCAGGCAGCAACATGGGTAGCTGAACTTATAAACAAAAATGCAATGTAAATAGCCATGCTGCTTGTAACATACACAGGGTAAAGCCACAGTGAGCACTCAGCCAGGAATGAGACAGATTATAGGTAAAACCAATAAGAAAAAAATTTACTCAAACGCTTATCTGAAGCAAACAGCAAAGGCTAATAGGTACCAATTTATTTTCCATTTTATTGTGCTTTTTCTTCCTTGACATTTACATCAAATATTTTAGGCTCTCATTCTTTCTAACATAAAGAGGCTCCAAAGTGCACCATGCACACCACTCTCTGGTGGTCCTGGCTCTTCAAAGCCAAGATCCCACCAACCAAAAAAGAGCTGAAACAAAACCAGGAGTTGCTTTTCTGCCCCTGTGATCTGCTTCTACATAAGATGAATTTGGTGGTCACCAAGGGCACCTGATCTGGGGAGATCCAGTGGATCTCTCCACACCAATGGAGAGGAATGGCAAGGGAGGAGACAGAAATGCAGCTGAGCAGCAAGAGAAAAAGCCAAGATGCAGGAGTAAAGCACATACACAGGGAGAAGAAAGCTGGAAAATTATATGGACAAAGGGGCAAAAAAAAAAAAAGCAAGCAGATGACAAGGGAGCAAAGAAATGAGAGACAAGACAAGGAAACAGAATATAGGGAATAAAGTAACTAAGAGCAAAAGTATAATGGGATGTCCACTTTCTAGAAGAGAATACAGCATTTCTCACATTAAAAAAAAAGTGAGAGGGGAGTTAGTTAGGTTTGCTTTGTATTTTTTTTACTTTTGTGTGTAATAAGTGAATGAACAAACCTTGACTGATCTTGTATTCTAACATCTCGTATCAATACCTGAATTTTGGTAACTTAAGCTGATGTATCATTACCAAAGAAAAAAACTCTGGCTAGATGTTTAAAAAAATTAGACATATCCAATAAAACACAAAGTAAAGATAGCAAACAAGGTGCTAAATTGATAGTACATCTGAATGAGACTTCTGTCAGCAAGCTCAGAAAAAGCAAAAATAGTGTAGAAGCTACTAATTTCACATATTAGTATAGACAATTTTGACTATTCAATTATGTTCAGAAACATACATACGTTTTTTTCTGTGCTCAACCAGCGCAACAGCCTGCTTTGCTGAGCATTTTGAAAACCAGTTGTCCCCAAGCAGAACAGTAACCTCATTGGTGTGGACAAGTTTTCCTGGCATGAACGCAAGCGGACCAAAAGGTACCTGTCAAAGGCACAGGAGAAACAGCTGAAAATCACTAGTGAAAATAAAACCTGGACAGTCATTTATGTCTTAGTTTTTAGAAAAGAAGTAAAACACAGAGTTAAAGACATAAAAATTCTACAGCAGTTATTTAATGACTAACCCTTCATAAATATTCAAATTGCCAGATCCATTTGAAATTAGTATTGTGCTTAGAAAATCAGAGAAGTGATATTTAACCTGAAAACTTGTTTTGTGACATAAAACTAGATATAGCTGAATGCTCACATGGAAAACAAATTCACTTAATATGTAAGCCTTGATAATAAAAACATTATCATGTAGGTGAGTTATATATTTGTTATACAAAGACCACATTCATTTCCTAATAAAAACAAGTTTAGCTTTGCCAAAGTTTTTAAAAATACTTAAATAGGTATGGTCAACTCTAAAGATGAGTTGCTCTTCTCCATATCTGTATGCCTAATAATAAGTATCTAGAAACTCCAGTGACAGTTTGGGGGCTACCAGCAGGCTCAGGGGCTGTGCTTGCTCCCACTTTCTCATTCACCAGCGCTGGGACCTCACCACCACCGAGGAGCCCCTGTCCTCCAGTGACTCTCCAGGCACAGGAACCATACACAGGACCAGAATGCTTCAGACAGGAGTATGTTGGGGATAAACACCTTTTAAAACTTTAAGAGGTGCTTCTTTAAAAAGGTGTAACCTCCCTTTTAATGCAGAATACAATGTAGAAGACATTATTTTTATGATTTAAGGCACCTTCCGCAGCCCAGACTCTACAGCTGGTGTGTGGGCAAGATGTACTGCTGGGGACGAGCCCTGGCCACCCTCGCTCCTGCCTCCTGTGCCACCCCCTGCAGTCCTACCCTCACACCTACCACTGCCTGCCTGCCTGCCTCTGGGCTTCCCCGCAAAGAAATTAGGAGACCAAAATCAAATGGAAGTTAAAATGGAGGCGGCAAAAAGCTACGAACCACAGCCAGCTCAAGCTTTCTCTTGAGAGTGAGAGGATTCCGTTTCCTCAGATGCGCTTCTGTTGATGACAGTGGATCTGTTTCCTTGGAAAGCCATCTCCCCTAGCTCCAGTATCCAGGAGGTACCAAAGCTTGACACAGTTCTGCCATAGGCAGGACCCTGTCACTAAGACTATGCAGAATGTGCTTTTCCTACCCACGTACCCTTCCTGACTTGGTTTTCAAGTAGCAGACTGCACCGTTCGCCTCTTCACTCTTCCCCCAAAAACGATGAAAGCAAAATTGAAAACATATGAAAATATTTGGCTAACAGGATAGGAACTATTTATATACGTTTAAAATAACAGATGTGAGTTGACATTGCTGCTTTAACGAAGAGTAAGCCCTATCTAGCTTTTTTAAAAATAGGGTGGTTTTCTGTGCTTCGAAACAACACGATCTTCTTGCTTTGCATCATGTGGGCACACACGTTCACATGGTAAAGGGAGGACACACACGAAATCCAGAGCCTTATCATTAGCACAGGAAAGGGAAACACTCTCTTTTCCCTCATGGTGAGAGCACTCCAACGCCATCCTACCAACAATTCAAACCTATAAACTGAGCCAGATTGCCAGGGAAAAAAGCAGTCAGGCACTTTGTGCTGAAACTAGCCATCCAGGTATTTACAGTACAACCTCCCCTCCTTCAAATGTGTATCTTGAATCGGACCTGAGAAGGGGGGAGGCAAAAAACAAAGAGAGAAAAGCCAATTTGGTCACAATTCTGGCGAGCGCACACCAACAGGGTGACGTTTACCGTGGGAGGTGGGCAGTTGTTAGGGAAGATTCAAAGCAGCAGAAAAGATGGCTATGTCGATGGGAAGATCGGTGAAACAAAAATTAGCAGCACCTTTTTATGGAAAAATCAATGTTCTAGGGTTTATTTCCATGAATCAGGAAATACTACGGCCACTTTCTTCTCAGGAAATGACTAAGTACCGTAATTCAGTCATAATTATAGTTTTCTATACAATAGATTTACATATCAAACATGTCAGGTTTTGTGTTAGCATTTATGTCATCAGTTCTCAGTTGTCAGTAACATTGTAATTTATAATGGATTTCAAAGGAAAGAGAAAGAAACAGAAGCAAAGGTTTAACTATTATCATAATAAATGTAATATTACGAAGTACTAACGGCAACCCGATGAACACCTCACCACCGGGGCTGACACCCTAATTATGAAGAATTTTAGCCCCTTTTTCTTGGGTCAACCCTACAGTGTACGTACCATGATATCGTAGGACAGTTTATCGGGCAACGTGCTGAGCCGCTCCTGAAGAGCCTCGTAATCGCTCTCCACCTTCTTCCTGTTGACAAATTCAAGTTGATTCAGTTTCATATCTAAAGTAAAGAGTTAATGTTTTCCCAACACACAAAAAAACACAGAAAAAGAACCTATTTTAAACACATAGAGTTGATAGATCAGTAACTTATTTATAAAGTGATGAGTAACTTATTTATAAAATTTATAAAACTTAGGATGACAGACAGAATAGCTAGATTATTTTAGAATAACACGTATTAAAATAGGGACATGGTTATTTTAGATTGTGCACATCCCTTTCTGAATTTGAATTTTTTAGGGTGCAAAGAATCAGTTCTTTCACCAGGATTTGGCAGACCTCACTCCATGCTCAAGTTCAACAGTTATACCACCATCAATATTCAGAAAAAAAAACTGAAAATCCAGTTTATACTTTGTAAGAGGCAAATTCTTCAAAGTATCACTTGTAATAAAGAATTCATAACCTTGGTTTGAACCGACATAGGTGGGCAAAATTTAATTATTTCTGATTTTCACGTGAACTTTGTGTTCCTACCAAGAGTCAACATTCCTGAAAGGTGGTTTCACCACCAGGATTCTGTCGCATCTTCAGTCCCTGACAAGGGACAACACAGGTGAGGAACATCCCTTCTGCTGGTTATCTACCCAAAACTAAACAAGGCTCATGCTGCATGTTGCTACCCAAGACAGAAATGGCTTGGTGAACTGAGACAAACTATTGACTTTGCAAGATACAGCATTTCAACAGCTATGGGCATCTTCCTTTGTGTGCAAAACAAGCAACTACACTCCCTTTTAAAAAACCTTCTTTTGTGAAGACGTTCTTAAATACTTAAAATTCGGCTGGGAAGTCTTTTAATGGACTTCTGCCACGCTGAAGATGGCCAGAAATCAGTTCCTGCATGAAGTAGCTGGCATATAAATGTCAGCTTTGATGATATTGTTTACTTCAAAACAGTAAACACATATATGGTAGTAAATTCTGCAATAAAAGGCAAGTGAAAGCACGGAGCAGCACACTTAACAACGCTGACCCAAGATGCAAATTACGGGTTTTCTGAGGATGATTCAGGAAAGCAATCTATAAATGTGCTGAAAAATGAATGTCAGAGTTGATAACACAACTCTCAAAATATTATCATTGATTTTCTTAGATTCATAAGCAGAGTGAAACCTTCTTCAGCATTCGTTATGAAAAATTATCTGATACTCCTATGTTTTGACTCCTATGTTTGCTCCCATAGTTGAACTTTGCTACTTCATAGCTGGAGTACTTTGTATTTCAAGTTGCTGAACTGGTCCTGAAAAAAAGACTTTAGGTTTTTATGCCACTTGGACCTTAGAGCTGTATTCTATATAACTGATTTACAAAAGATGCGTGCTGCTGCGTTGGTGTGAGAGCAGATTTCTCTCAGACTTCTTCAGGCAAGTTTCTCTGTCCATTGCCCACCTCCAAGTGAAAATATAATTCACTTCCTTCAAAGAGGAAGGCCAAACTCATGAATCTTAACAGAACTCACTGCGATGTTTTGGGGGGGAAGCAATATAGTAACAACTTGGCGTCAACAATAACAATCAATCACTTAATGATATTTACAGAATCCAGGCTTTGCCTCGCAGAGATCTGTATTTGAGCATGGGGCACTGATGCTCTCCAACTCCTCACCAAAAACCAAACATGCTCCCATGTCTCAAACATAAGGAGAAGACCCCGTGGGAAGAGAATGGTACGAAAATCCCCCCCTTGCAGCAGCAGGATTAAACATTCCCATCATTTCATGGCTGAAAGTCACTCAACATGTTTTCTTCATTAATCTGAAAAGAAGATACTGCCTTTAAGGTCTGACTGCTGCCCGTTACTGAATAATCTGATTAGGGTACAGCAGAAATCACTTGCTACAAATGCTATTTTGCTTTAGAGAGCAAAGTATGTTTCTTTTTTTCGGTGGGATTGGTGCTCTTTGCTGACCAAACCTTCACTATGGGAATCTCTAAAAGGGCGGCTGCATCCTGAGCTGGACCATCAAGATAAAGAAAATTAAGATCAATCCTTTTCATTAATTGCCCTGAAACAGCTTTACTCAAGGGAGGAAGCTGACCTCCCTCTTTGCCTGTGGCTGGTGGTGAGACAAGCTGTGGGGTGTGCTTGGTGCAATGAAGAACCAAAGGGGACAGGGAGGGTGAACGTGGGGCTCCAGCTATGACCGTGTCCCCAGAAGGTCTCCATGTTTAATCCCATACCAGAGCCATTATTGGATTCATGGCTTTATAAATACACTTCAAGAAGTGTACTGAAAAAATGAAAAAAGAAAATAATTTAATGGAAATATATTGAAGCTGAGCATTTTAAAATCCTATTGTTATTCACCCAATTCTATTTAACATTCTTCTGTGTCACTGACTACTTAAAAGGTCTTATATGAACAAATTACTCAGTTGAAACAAGAGCACTCAGCTCTTGCGCAATCAAGATCTAAATAAGGGTACTAAATTTTAAATAATTTTTATAAAGATTGTATGGATGCTGTATAAACTGGTTTTCTACATAAAAGCCATCAGTAAGTTGGGTTTTCCTTTTGACATTCTGTGCCCAAAACCACAAAGTTCACAGGGGGCATGGCCAGGGTTTGCTTAAAAGCAAACACACGAGCAACTCCTTCCACAACCATCCCTCCCACCCCACTCCCTCCACAGACCTCAGCCATTTTTGTAAGAGGAAATAAGCATCACAATTTTCTGAACTTTTCAAAATCTGTTTGAATTTTAAGGCTTTCTGTCAATCAGTTTACAATGCACATGCATAATTTGACATGGGACCAAACTGGTTCGGACACTGCAAAGCTCCTGAGAAAGTACCTGTGCTGGGAATATTCTGCCTGACTTCACCACAGCAGCACCAGTAGGCACTTCAATATTTCCCTTATTGAAAATTAATGCAGTCTCTGAATTTTAAACATAAATGAAACATATTAGTTTTAGATTATTTTTGCGAGCCAATAGTCAGAATTTAATATGATGATGTGTATAGATTGCCTTGATTTTCTTCCTCTTATCCAGTGCTTGCAGCCTACGTGCATTTAAACTAAAAACATTTGATACACACTAAATATAAATTATTTGCTTGGAGATCTTTCAGGCATGAAGAAAAAGCCTCTTAAAATAAATTTAAAATATTATATGCTTGATGGTGTATAACCAAAGGTTTAATCTCACCACTAAAGGGGCAGTTGCTGTGATTCTGCAATAACCCTGCAGACAATAATCAAGACAGCTCCTGTTGTTCTCTCAGTAAAATCATGGTAAACACAGCATGGATATATTGTAATTTGATATCGGTAAGATCAACTGTTATATCTCACAGTAACTCATAATATAAGATTTCATTCACCATTAAATGTACATTTTCCTCAGATGCCACACAAAACTATTATTTACTAAGCATGCTTTCTATTAACCATAGATTGCCAACAGAGAAAAAAGTGCCCAGAGATAATTTTTTTACGTAACAAACCATTTCTTTCTAAGCATTACAAACTAAGCTTTATCACATACTTTACTGGGGGAAAAAAAAACAGAAAAACATTACTTTTACATTGTTTTAGCACATCTGCAAGGGGGAGAGCAGAATTTTCCTACCTGCTCCATAGTTATAAAGAAAACAAGAAGAATAGTAATTAATTCTACCCTGGGAGTACCTTTTTACCAATCAGGCAAATTCAGCATTCATCCCACAAAGTTACTTGGGGGAAAATGACAAATGAGCTAGGTATTTAGAACAGAAGTATAAACACTAAGGTTCAGTGTATTTGTGATTTAAAGTAATGATATCAGTGGAAAATATATACATTTTAAAGACAGTACACTTCAATAATTCTGAGTGATCGCTAACTATAATCCCCAAAAGATGCTAGTAGGATTTGGCTATCACTAGAATAAATAGCACTACTTTACTAAAATAAAACTAGGTTACTCATCAGTATTTTAGGCATGTAATCAAACATTTTTCACTTACCAGTGCTGGATTTTTTCTTGGCAGCTAGTGACCACCTGTCATTAAAACAGATAACTACTCATGAAAAAACAAGGCTAAGCACACAGCTGCAATGTCAATGCATCAGAAACTAGAACAGTAGCTTTACAGATTTGCTGGTGTCTCTATATACATTTTTATTTGTCAGAGGAAAGGCAAGTGAATGGTAGTTCTTAAGCAGCACACTTTATCACACCCTAATGCAGACTGATAACCAGAGAAAAAATTACAGCTTTTCAATTCATATTTTGGTACAATACCTGCTCCATAACTATTAGGTGACACACGATATAAGATAAGTAGTAGTTTGTGCAATCTGGAGATCTATTTTCAGTGTTACAGGTTTACAGAATAAGAAAACAACATAAGTTATAACACGGCATCAATGTAACTTCCAAACTCATTCATTAAAAAACAAAAACAAATGAACCCCACAGCACCAAAAACATTTTTTTCCTTTATCAGTACATCAACCAATGTTTCCACTGGCCATCTCAATCTGAAAAAGCACAAATTAATTTTGCAGTGTTTAAATACAAAGATATTTGACACCATTACGGGCTGCTGGCTTCCCCTCTGTTCTTTCTGGGTGTCAAAATTAAAAGGAAGTTTTAATCTGAATATTTCACTTATTTCTTTATGCCACAGGCTTTCCCAAGAGATCCAAAATAATTTCCCAAATAAAGAGCATTATTAAAATTAAATGCTTTTTTTCTTTTTTAACTGCATTTTTTTGGGGCTATGTAAATACAGCAAACAGACAAGATGCTGAAACCTGTGACCTTCTCTGCCATAATTACGTGGAGATTTTGTCTTTCAAAACATATTCTGATCTCTGAATAATGGTTACCAAAAATATAACACAAACAATTTCATTCAATTATATGAAATGCAATGAACCCATGAGGCAATTAAATATGTCTAGACATCTTCTCAATATAAGCATTTTCTAGATTTTTTTTTTTTACAAATTTCGTTTTTCCTATAGCCAAAATAACGCTAACATTTGAAAGCAATTAATGAGAAAATTTGCAAAGAAAACAATAACATACATTCAAGTACCACTGAAATCACTGGAGCAGATAATTCTTTTTTTTTTTTTTCCTAAACAACAGGATGAAAGACAATTTTTTTTTCAGTTAGCATATGTGCAGTTATTGCAGAACAGATCTCAGACCCTGCACTTTCTACTCATATAGAAGTAAAAAAAAAATGGGACTACTTTGTGAGCTAATAATTCTTTAAACAGAGCAAAGTACTTAAATGAAAAGGATCAGTTCTACATTTGTGGTTACGCTATTTCATAATCCATCAGGAAATTCAGCCACGTAGCTCGCCCCGTGTAAGACAAGTTTGAATTTATCATTTGCTTGAAACTCCTACAAATCAAATGCCTAGCAAATGTCCCCCTTAATGCACAAGCTAACTATTTTTAAGGTTAAGAGGAAGTATACAGACTTCTACAAGACATCAACTCAGAAATCTAATTCATACTATTAAACTCATTTTAAAAGTAAAGTTTCTGTACAAGGTATAAAGCCTAGAGCACAGCCCCGTTTGGTGGCACTGGTAACACACAATGGAGCCCACCACTAACGAGTAGAAGAGCCAGAGCCCATTCTATCAACATCCTTCATTCTTTCAGATTTAGTAGTGACTGTGAAGTACACAGCATAATTAGGCATACAAAAATGTTTATGAAATCCTTTAAGAAAGTTCCAGTTTAATTGCCCCATTACAGATGAAGATGGAAAAGGCAGGAAGCTTGCCATTCCCAATACATGACTTTCCATGCATGAAGTGAGCTAAAAGCACAAAAAGAAAAGCCCTGCAAACCATAAGAGCAGCATGTTCATTAACCTCTACATGATAATCCTTTCATAGCTGCATATTAACTAGTTACACATTCATAATCATTTACATTATTTAGAGGACCTTCTATGAAAATTTCCAGGCTATATCCATTAGCTACAATGTTAAAGGTTACAGAAGATAGTCTACTTAATGTTTCCAGGAAGCTTTTTTAATTAGTAAATATGTAAATTGGGCACATATGCTTTTTTGTGTTTTTAAAAAATAGTCCATCAGTAAAGCAGCACGGGGGCATATGCTCTTTCCATTGCCCTTTATCCCCTTTAAAAAAAAAAAAAAAAAAAAAAACAATAACACCAATCAATTTTAATTTAATTCTTCTTCTTTGATATAATCTCTCTTGAAGGGATACTAAAGGGTGGAACCAGCAACAAACCTTTTCGTTTCAGCGGCCAGCATAAAACGAGACCTTTTACAGAAGTGCTAAAATATACCACCTTAAAAATGTTTCAGGCTGCACTTGTGGAACTGAACTCTATTAAAAAAATAGAGCGAGAATAAATATTGAAAAACAGATGGAGATCAATTATGCATATGTCCTTTATTAGGTCAGTCACACTGTTTGGATAACAACTGGTTTTATCACAGCGAAGAAACAAATAGATAAATATATAAACAAATCTTTGATTCTTTGCCTTTAATCAAACATGGGAAAATCATTAGTCTATCTTCCACACATAATTTATATCTAGAGTTACAATTAAAGAATGAAAATTCCTTTCAGGGTAAATAAAATAAATGACCTGTTTGTTTGTTCATTTGAGTTCAATTTGCCTGGACACCTAGTGCCACCAACTATGCGTTACTTTTAAGACATCATAGTGGAAGTGGTATCAATAAACTCTGAATTCTCCTCTTTTAGGCATAAAAGTGTGTGAGTGTGTGAATGCATGTGGTTATCAATGGCTTATCTACATACTAAAATATTTATTAAACAGCAAACTTAACACTACCTAATCATGGCTCTGGTTATTAAAACAGGATCCACTGACAGAAAATGCATTCCATGGTCTTAAAAGAAAACAAAGGGCCAAATACCTTGTTTCCTTCCTTTCTTCCAACAGCAACTTGTTAAAAATTAGTGCTGCTCAAGGCCCTGACGGGACAGAGCCATCCCTGGCAGCTCCGTGAGCAGCCCCCTGGACAGCCCTAGAGGAGCACACCTGTAACCCAAAGTGTAATTCCTTCTGGATTAAAAACCAAACCACTACAGCGGGAGATTACACGTTGGTTCTGCTCTCACCACTACTACACTGAGCTATTTAAAGGCAAGAGTACGTTGCTGCTTTTAGGCAATGTCTTGTCTCCAGGTTTCACAAGCAGAGTCGCAGCAGAGCTGAGGGACCAGCTTTAGACCTGGGATCACCTTCCAGGTGTCCCCGACTTCCATCGTGCCAACCTGAACCCAGGGCAGCTTGCAGGCTAGTGACTCCAAACCACCCCCAAACACTCGTATCGTACAGCCAAAGACTTCCTTAGCAGTCTGAAAGCAGGTAACTCCTTTTATCTCCAACAGTTTCTCTCTTTCCAGTCTAACTATTTACATTCCACCTTCTCCAGGATCTTCCACCCGAAGAGCTCAAAAACTTTTCTGTGAATTAAAGCGCAGAGCAGTTTGGAAAGCACTGCACTGATTTTACAGGCTGAGTGACTTAACCACTAACACTGGTCAGGAAGAGGGCTAGAGACAGAAGCCAGATCTCCTACCTCAACAGCCAGGCACTAGAACCACTTGGAATGAAGATGGCCGAGAAGGCTGCTGTAGCATGAAGCTGATTCTCACCTGTAGGTGCCCACAGGTCTCTAACCTGTTCCTCAATAACCCACCCTTTCCCAGCAGGTCCTCACAAGGGCACCTCTTTCTTCCACCTCATGTTTCCTCACCTGTTGTTTCAGCACATGCTCCCATTGCTAACACCTGAATGTAATGAGCACTCTGAGGTGCTTCTGGTTATCAAGGTGATACACAAATCGCTCTGCTCTGCTCTCCAGTCCAAGACTATTTGGTTTTCTTGGGGTGGTTCTCCAAGGGGGAAGGAGTGTGAATGCCTCTCTCTGCTCATCAGCGAGGCACTGCCCATAGGGGTGACAGGTTTAGCACAGGGAGGACAATTCTCCTCTCACCTGCTCCAAACAGCAGCAAGGCAAACTGCCGAGTCAGCATTTCACCTACGTCTCAGAGCCTGAACAATTTTAAGCAACAGAGCCAGGACTGGTATGACCTGCAGACAGTGCTGGGTACCAATGCTAAACCTGCTGTACCCAGGTCACACAATTACGTTCAAGCCTAAAGAACCAGAAACTGGTATTTTTAAGATGAAAGGTGATGTCAATGAAAATTTTTAAAATAAAAACGCTCCATCGGATTAGGAAGAGTTGCTAAATGAGTGAGTGGCTATTTCCACACTTGTAGGTATGAACATGGAAATATGCATGCCCAAACCATGACAGCACAGCATGGCACAAAAGCAACATTTCCATTTAAAAATTACAAGTGAGGTATCTCAGAGGCCAAGCAAACCTGTGCTGTTTCCACCTGCACACGTGTATAATTTGCTTCAAAACTGTGGCTCAATCTGGCTGGCCTTCTGAAATTAGAAGCTAGGGACGCAGATCTAATCCCGGCTCTGATTCTGTTTCTTCTCCATGGCCTTGAGCAAATCACAACCTCTCAGTCTACATTTCTTCATCTGCAAAATGGGGATAATAGTATTAACCTACCCACCTCGGAGTGTTTAATGATGATTAATTAATGTGAGAAAAGCACTCTAAAGATGTAAGAGCACTATATAAGTGATAAAGCATTATTTACCACTTGAAAAGTAATCTGAATAAAATCAGATATGCAAGTAATTTGTTTACATGTAGCAATAATATAATTTGTGACTATTTAATCTTGAATTAGTCTCACTTTAAACATCCCTTTCAATCACATTTCCAGTTACTTAGGGAAAATGACAGTATAGAATACTTTTTGTGGAAGCAGAGCAAGTAATGAGGTGGTAATTAAAGTAAGAGTCTAATAAAGTCTAAAACCAATGATCTGCCTTCAGGACACTGTCCCTGCCATTTGGGACTGTAAAGATCTCAGTCTCGACCTTGGTTCTGCTGTTCAGAACCTTCCACCAACTGCACTGGAAGCGTATGCCGGGCTGCTGAAATGCAGATCCACGTTTGCAAGGCTCATGATAAATCCAAGATAATTTCCACCACTGACCTAATGCAGATGACTCCAACTCTGCAGAGTTTTAACTGCTTAGCCTTGTACACGCGAGTATTTACTGCAGCTGAAACATGCACATGAGCTGCCTCCATCTGTAAATGTTTGCAGTATCGAGAGCCGCTCCGCCGCGCAGCTCATGCGTGAGATTTCTCTGTCGCACCCCCAAACCCTAAAAGTTTACTGATGAAATAACCAGTTCATAATATGGCTTTACATTACAGAAGAATACTAATGGGTGGTCAAATATTTAATCATCCCTTGGTAACAAGGTTGTAACAAGCCACACGCAAAATAAACATTTAAAATGAATTTTCATTTTTTCCTCTAGGAAACTAGACAGTACTTGCCTAAAACACAGCAATCACTGATGGAGAAAGACAGAATTAACATTTGCACAATTGTTTTTCCTAGAGCCCCATTTTCAATCAAAAAATGAAATAAAACTATTAAAAGTTCTTCAGTCTGTTGGCACACTGTATGATCTAATGGAAAAGGAAGAAAGCATTTCTAAGCTCTCATATTCATTTATTAAATCATATTACTCAAAAACACTACATTTCAACAAATTATTAACATAAAATCCCCTTTGGGTGGGAAGTTTTGCCTTTTGAAGAAAAGCGTTTGGGAAGAATACTGAAGGAAAAGAGAGACAGAAAGAAAATTTTATCATGGCAAAGGAAAAAGTCTTATTTAAAATATAACCACAATTTTTACCTTTGTCTATAAGAAAACAAGTGAAGATCTAGTATTTCTATATTAATTGCGCACACAACTGGATCTCTCAGTTTTGCAGAAAAAGTAGTGTGTAACTATTTTTTTATCAATAAATGAAAACGAAGTGCTGACAAAAGGCTTTTTGAGAACTTAAAAATTCTACTTCAAACATCCCAGAATTACACAGCAGATAGAAAACACCTCATTTCTTCCACTGAGAATGTTTTCCACTGAGTGAGGGAGTTTAACTGGCTCTGAACCAACTGAACTGGTGCAAGTGAGGAACAAACTGGAATAAGGTCTCATCTTTCCCTGGTAGCAAGTAAGTATCCATGTCATGTAATTTCATCTTGAGAGAGTGCTAAGAAACTCGTAATTCAGTATTTTAGCTTATCTCATGTAAACACATTCATGTGGCTATGCCATATCCAAGCTGGCTCAGGTACCAGGACAGCAGCAGACAACAGAAGCATCAAACTCCCATGATCTAAACTTACCAAACATCTCAAGCAGGTTCTGCAAGCTTTGACGCAGTCTATGGTGCAAGAACGATGCTGCTAGCAATCCCTGAGTTAACTAGCTTCAAATTAACGTGAGCACCTGCCTCACAGACATACCTCCAGGCTGTGGTTCAATATTCAGCCACAGTCCTGAGTAAACCAGCCATCGTCCCTCCCTGTCTCCAGCTACTCTGCTCCACCATCTCATCCTCCCAACCCCAACACAATCTGCTGGCCAACATTTGTGACGCTGCACAACCAATTAAGCCAGCACACTGGCTGAAAAATAACCCAGGAAGAAAAAAGAGGCAAAAAAGTCAACAACTAAGTTTGGGTTTAAGCTGGATCCCAGCCCAGGTCACTGAGCAGTGTCACAAACATGCCACCCTAAAATTGCTAAAAGGCAGAAACGAGCAGTCACAAAAAACCCCCTAAGATTAAAAAGCTGGCCACCAAATTAAAGTCATCTCCTTCCTGGATAACTCTTGTGATTGTGAATGCAATTTCTGAACAAGCAACAGACTGCTGCTCACAACAGCTCGGCTCAAAGGGCCAGTCAAATTCCACCCATCGCTGGCTCTGCATTTCCCCCGTCACACTCGTGCTCCATTTGACACGACCATTTTGGGACGTTACTGGATTCCTCTCACCCCACAGCAGCCTGATCACTGTCTTAGCACAAAAGCAGTGGAGGGGTTCGATTCACCCTCTTCATGGCATTGGAACTGCAGCCTGTGCTGACAGGCAAGAGGAACCACAAACCAGCGACTGCACAGGCCAGCCCAGTGTCCCAATGTCCCACTAGGAGAAAAGGAAGTCTTGGTGCAGTTGCTGCTCTGAGGGGCTCGAGGTGGCAAGCTCCGAGCCAGCACATCCATCTTCTGGACTGCAGCTTCAGATAAAAACAAAATACAATTTCACAATCTCAAAGGAGGAAAGAAATACACGAGGCAAAGGGCATCCAAGTCAACCCAAGGAGAGAGGTTATGAGTGTAACTTCTGGAATGGAGACCTGCCAAGATCCTAGAGATGCTGAAGACGGTTCCCAAACAGTACCACGGTCACTCCACCTACTTACAGAATCTGTAGGCAGCTATAGGAGCAGCCCAATTTAGTAACACTTAAATTTTGTGGATATAATCTCATCAAAACATTTCATTTACCAATGAGGCAGGACGTATACAGACTTGCCCACTCCAGAGTAAAGGCAACGCTCTTTAAGCTCTTTTGTGAATAGTTTGGCTGTAATTACCATTTAAAAAAAAATTATTTTAAGAGCTGTTAATTTATTTCACAATTCGCTATATAAACTAGTGGCGATTTAATTCATACTAATAAGAACACAGACAAATATTGAATATAAAAAATTAAAAGTGATGATCAATTAACACTGGAGCAACAAGAACTATTACACTGAAAGCTTCCAGATAATGACTGAATTAGCTCTTATACTTGAAAGCAGCACACGAGAAAATGTTATTGGAACCCACTCTTACAAAAAAGCACTGGACAGGGTAGAGTGGATGTCCTCACAAGTTTCTGGAGAGATAATTGTCCATGCATCTTTTAAAAAGAAATAGGGCAAATGGAGCTTCAGACATGTTCTTTTAAAAAGGAGCACGTCAAACCAAGCTTCAGACACTCTGTTAACTTTCCTCAAAGAGTTACTGTGCAAAATGAAGTCCTACCGCACTGGTGTCTCGCTCCCAGGCTCTCTCTAGATTCTGTTACATGGATGCAGGCTGGAAAAAGTGCAGAATCCTGGGAGACACTGTACTGGGAAGCACAGTGAATCCCACCTGCTGCATCCACAGGTAAGCAGTTCCCGGATTTCCAGTGGTTCCTGCAGCAGAGCGAAGTGTACAAGACCCCACTCAGTCTTGCTGCTCTTTTTCAGACTGCAGGAACAGCTTTTAAACCGCCAAGTTGCCCATTTCATTGCACAGATATTACTTGAAAAAGGCTTAGACAGAGGCAGCCAGCCTCAGAAGTAATTCATACAGGAAGAAGAGAAAACAATTTAAAAGAGCGTAAGTTTAGGACTCTGAGATTTGTTGCCCCATAACCAACCTACAAATTGTTTAACTGTAAAAAATGGGAACTACCCAGGATCTTGAAAACAATTTTGGAATTTAAGATCATACAGCTCCACTGTATAAATTCATAAAAATTAAGAATATGTCACAATACCCACTAGCCAATGAGCTACGGTAACAGCCACACTAAATCTAATTGTGCTTTGTTGTCACAATGAGTGACAGGAGAGTCACTTCCTTGTCCTAATTCTCCTAAAAGGAAAATTAAAAAATGTGTTTGTCAGTGCAATGAAGAAAAAAAAAAAAATGCAATTGCCAGCAAAGACTGGAATCCTTTAGATTCTCCATGCCTGTGTTTGCACTCTACAAATGTCTCTTGGGTCTAATTGGTTCCGTAATGTCTCCCATTATGCATAGCTTCATTGCATTGCTCCAAAACTATAGAACATATCAGCCCACTGTAAATTCACTGTCTACACATGTCTTACCAAATCACACAGATCTGACTTGTCAACTTCCTATCAGTTAGTAATCCTAACCCATATGACTGTAGGAATAAATGTATATCAAATATTATGTTTAAACGCAGGATCTACAGCATAAGAATCCACCTATTTAAATATTCATTTTATAATTCCTATACTAACTTGCAATAGATTTAACGCAGTATTTTCAGCTAACATATATTGCTTTTGCAAGTAATCCATGATACATACATTATATTCTTCTTACAGAAATATCCAAAACTTTACGCAGGCACTGTGCTTCCAATGATGGTCTTTATCATGAAAATTACTAGATA